CACAATCTCCTCCACAGCTGTCCACAGGCAGACGCCGACGGACATCAGAGGAAGGCCCAGATGAGCGCAGAGAGAAGTTTCTGGAGAGAAACAGAGCTGCTGCGACACGGTGCAGACAGAAGAGAAAGGTCTGGGTGATGTCGTTGGAGAGGAAGGCTGAGGAACTTACACACACTAACTTACAGCTGCAGGTACATTTACACATGCATAATTTGTGCAGATACCTACCTAGCAGTATTAAATACAACTGAAAATTCATGGTAGATTCATGCGTTTGCTGCTTTGTTTATATATATATTTTGTCTTCTCATAGAATGAGGTGACATCACTCAGGACAGAAGTCACTCAACTGAAGCAAATTCTTCTTGCACATAAAGACTGTCCTGTCTCTGTGAGACAGAGAGAAACACAGAGTAAGAATCATTTTTTTCATTCTCTCCTGCTTTCTCACAAATACTAGTGTATTGGGGTTGAGTTTCATTAAAACCTGTGAAGAACATGTCTGAGTCATATTTCAACCATAATAATAGTAAATAAAAAATTATATAATTGCTTATCTGTGATGCATATTTTTTGGTCACTATAATTTTTTACACTGTCACAATTATTTCCATGACAATTAGGAAGCCCAAATTATATATTTAAATAATGCAAAGAAAAAAGTTTAAAAAAAAAAGTTTTTTTTGTAAAGTTTTTATTAAAAATTTTAAAATATTAATTAAAATTTTGAATTTTAACTAAAGAATATTAAAAATATAAAGTGCGGATGCATTACAGTCAAATACATTAAAGTACATTATGCATTTAAAATTATGCATTTAAAAAAAAGTTAAATTGAAAATAAAAGAAATAGTTTTTTAAAAAATGTAACAATATTACTGTTTTTTTTACAGTATTTTGATCAAATAAATGCAGCCTTGGTGTAAAAGAAAGAAAAAAAAATAAATTTTTACTAGCCTCAAATTTTTTAGTGCTAATATTTATGTTCATATTGTGCGTTTTATTACTTTAAAGAGCAGGTCATATGGTATTTTAAAGTGTCCTAATATTGTGTTGGAGTCCCCTACAACTGGTTTAAATGCATCTAAGGTCAGAAAACTGTAATTTTCTCAGAATATACATTTAATATTAGAGTCATTTGCCAATGATTTCGAAACGATTCGTTCCAAGCAAGTTCGGAGCAAACCCCTCCCTTCCATAAGCCTACTCTGCTCTGATTGGTCAGCTGGCCAAGCCTGTTGTAATTGGCACAGAGAGGAGTCCTTGAGCAAGTTAGCGAGCGCTACCATTGACAAATCACCTTTATATAAAACAATATAGTGCTCCAATCAGTTCTTATAATAATGACATAAAATACAAAAACACTTATGTTTTCACTTATGATTCACAAGCGAATCGTGCCCACAGCAAGTTTAGCTGCTAAACTGTAAGCACTTTAAACAATAATGGTGGATACGTTAGCCGAGTGCTAACGTGACTGATGAACTGATACAGTTTGTAAACCAAAATATGTCTACTGTAATGTTTGAAGAATGACAGACAAAAGATGCTCTGTCTTAACTTTTAATCAGAACGCAGAACAGCTGTATCACAGGCGCACCAACCTAACTAACTCGCTCGTCTCTCCCGCATTAACCCTATAACTGCCGGTGCAGCAAAATAAACAGCAATTTCACAATGATTATAAAGTCTGTGCGCTACACTACATTCTTTATTATTAAACGAAGTAATTATTAGAACAACGTCAGTCTCCATTAATCTACACATTCTTAGGAAATAGTGGGTTCACAATGAATTACCAGAACTAATTCAGTAAGACAGTAATATCATGGAACCTGGAACCTGGTAACCTTTACCTGGAAACCTAAAGCTGCACTAGGTATACATCACATATTAGCAAAAAACTTGATATTTTGAGCACTCAATTGAAAATGTAAAAATAACGTATCAATCGTACCTACAGGTTGTGGTTCGGAGAGCTTGTTAGTCCAAATTAAGCAGATTAGAAGCC